CATCACCCTCAGCAGCTCCCAAGGTGGACCTGTAGTTGGTAAGATGTTGGACTCCCTGCCACACCTGCCTGCTGTTGTTACTTTCCAGATGTTCCTCAATCCTCCTCCTATAGTCCGACTTGGCCCCTTTGATGCCTCTCTTCAGGTCAGCCCGGGCTGCACAGTAGAGGGCCTGGTCTCCAGACCTGAAGGCGGTGTTCCTCTCTTTCAGCAGCCGCTGGACCTCCCGGGTCATCCAGGGCTTCTGGTTGGGGTATACCCGGATTCGTTTGTCCACGGTAACAGTGTCTATGCAGTATTTAATGTAACACAGTACACTGTCCGCGAACACCTCCAGGTCTTGATGTACAAACACATCCCAGTTGGTCCTGTCGAAGCAGTCCTGCAGCTGATGAGAGGCTCCGTCAGGCCAAGTCGTTACAGTTTTTGTGATGGTGGGTGCAGTTTTCCTGAGGAGGGCATATGTAGGAATTAACAGCAGAGACATATGGTCAGAGTGGCCCAGGTGAGGTAGTGGTTTAGCCCTGTAGCCCAGCTTGATGTTGGAGTAGACCTTGTCCAGTGTGTTATTTCCTCTAGTAGCACACTCAACATGTTGGTGGAATTTAGGGAGCACTGCTTTCAATTCAGCATGATTGAAGTCCCCTGCTATAATGTGTACAGCGTCAGGATGTGTGCTCTGCTGGCTGCTAATGCTGCTATACAAATGACTGCAAGCCGCTTTAGCATTAGCGTCCGGTGGGATATAAACAGCTGTTACCATGACGACGGTAAACTCTCTAGGGAGGTAAATAGGCCTGCATTTCACAGTCACATACTCCAAGTCCGGGGAGCAGTGGTAACAGAAGAAGAAGCCAGTAACAACATGACGAAATCTACATCGAGATCTGTGCATTTTTGGACAGATGAAATGTACAGAGCTGTAAAGTTGTTCACCATGGTATCAGTTTTGCTGCTAGCTACCAGTATCCAACATATTTGCCGATTGTTTGGTCTGTGATGTAATAAGTCAACTGGAAAAGGTCCAATACCAACAAGCTGAAAGGGAGCATATTGCCACCTACTGTAGTAGAGTAGGACATAATGGATTCCCTCCTGTGCTTGTGTACTGGGTCAAGGACAGTGGTCCAATCAAATGGCCTAGTCCAGCTATAACTGGAGCTCCACTTGAAGTGACACTTACCTTTCTGCTAATTTTACGCTTTTCTTTGTTTAGGTTAAAATGCTATTAATAAGTTGATGGCACACTAAAATGCAAGTGAATTCCACCAGAGATCAAAACTCATAATTATACCATTCTCATATGGTTCTAAGAAAACTCCGACCAGTCATTGCATGCAATGATTGGCCGAGTGTCCTTTCTGTCTTCCTTGCATGGAGGCCTCCAACTGACGTAACCACTCGCGTAAAATCGAGCGATGGTGAAGGCTGATGCAGTTTCGTCCTGAGCTAAAAAGGAACGAGATGGTCGCAGAGTTTCTGCTGGACAGGTATTTTTAGTTTGCCTCTAATATAACATAGGCTATAACGTAATATATGACAACACAGCATCCAATTGCTAATGGCTAACGTTAGCCTACTGTAGCGTAGCCTCTGAAACATTAACGTTATCTTCCTTGTGCGTTTCCACTTGCTAGTAACGTTAACGCTACTATCTAACATTAGGACTGTAACCTTATTCTAAAACTCATCAGTTAGCACTGACTCTGGTTGAGTTTTAAAACTCTGGGGTTGCGTTTGACTGTCTTGGTTGTAACGTTACACTCTCTCTCTCTCTCTCTCTCTCTCTCTCTATCTATCTACAGTATCTAACATTACCTTTGCAACGCCTACGTCTATCATAGACATAATGAAGATGTAATGGAGGAGGGGGGAGTAGGCCTTTGGAGGGAGGTGGAGTTGTAGGAGGAGGGGGATGGGACTTTGGAGGGAGGCAGGAGTTGTGGGTGTTCAGATTTTTTCTAGGTGCTATGTGAAATGCAAGAAAGGTAAAAGTAGCTTTAAATGTCCATGTAAACATACTGACTAAGAAATACAGCAAAGAAAGTGCAATGTCACCAACTTGCACTGGCTAGCTTTGCAACAGAATGATAAAATTAATCTCTCATTAATAATGTAAAATTTATAAATGCGCCTTTGATTGACATTTTACATAACACTGTGTAGCCTGCAAAAATAATAACACTATCAGTGAAATTGGCTGACAACATAAAAACAATGTTTTACCATGAAGTCACATCTCTCACCTTACATGTAATCTCCTCTTACCATTTCATCTGCAGCTATCTCAGCTAACACAGTATGGGCACTGGTCTAAGGTCTGTGTGAGGAGCTCAAATTCTAACCACACATATTTCTCTCTAAAAAACACCAGGTTATGTGTAAGAAATGACATCTGCATACATACTTATACATCTGGCCCCTGGTGTTTGGATTTTTGTGACAAAAGTTAGAATGTTTTGCTATTATCTGACGTTTTCTGTAACTTTCTGTAATGCTTTGCACAGTACATCACGTACGGAAGAAGCATGACTATAAATCCTGTAATTTTAAGACACACTCACCCTCAGTTCCATTGAAACCAGGAGGTCCACTTACACCTGATGACAAGACAACAAAATAACATCTTATGAAAGACATCCATGATGTGGGCTGCTAGACCTTGTTTAACCACTAAATGAACATGAGTGGATTAAATCTACAGTTTAATGTTCTGGTTATCTTTAGAGGCCAGATCAGCAACCAAAAATTCTTCTGATTCACTGGACCGTGATGTCTGTGTTGAATAAGCTGGCAAGTGAGAGTCAGTGCAAACTGAAGCACACTATGTTAAAAACATAACAGGTATGGATTCACAACTCTTGACACTCAACATGTGTAGCTTACTGAAGTTCCTGTAGTTTTGCACAAGGAAAAAACTCCTTACAATGCAGACACAGTCTCCCTCTGAAGCACCTGGAGTATAGGATTTAAATCACAACAAAAACACTAATGACTCACTCACCAGAACCCTGCGCCGCGCCAGGAAACTAGAGCCCTATGACTCAATACACTGCATGATATCGAATACACAGGAATTACTGGCTCTTTATCTCGGAATGATATGTCAGTTCAACCATATAAATGATACGCAGAATGCAGCTAATCTGGAGGGAGGGCAATCAGAAGGTCACTTGTGTATTCCAGCTAACGACAGATTCCTGCTGTCCAGGGTAGAAAGGTCTCTAAAATAGCATGTAGAATGAAAAGAATCCTCAAACACTCAAAGGCTCAGTTTTAGTTTTGTGTTAGTAGCTTTTTAAGGAGGAAGACCCACCATGCCTATTTAATAGCAAGGAAACTATTTAAAGTGAGGAAGGAAAAATGGATTTCAGGATGGTTTTATTTCCATGTATTCAGGTCAGGTTGGACAGAGATTCCACAGTGGTGCTATGAACTCTTCAACCAATATTCGCATCCTTACCTGGAGGCCCGGGTTCTCCTTTCTCTCCCTTTGCACCTGGTCCTTGATCCCCTGGAGCTCCTGGAGGCCCAGGTGGACCCCTAGGACCTGTATTCACACACACACACATGAGTGAAGATTGTGTACAGCCTTTTATGTTTTTGGGTGCACATTCACAAATGCAAGCTGTGCAAATTTAATTATTCATCACGTGAAACAGTGCCATGTCAGCAATATTACAGATAATGACAGAAGTTGAAGGAGGAAGAGAAACTGAACCATTTCATCATTTCAATCTGCTGTTACATTTTTCCATCCAGTGACTGAGTTTCAGTAAAGTCATTTGGTATTACTGTGAGTCAGTATGTGAATGATTCAGTACACACAGTATAAAGAAAATATTATGAGGATTTTTTCCCTGAACACACATTCTCCCCTTCAGCACTGCCTGGTTTATTTGGAAAGAGCACTGTAACAAGTGTTACACCCGCAAACGTAATAACAGCCCACAAACGTAATAAACCACAAACGTAATACAAATCTGCAGCTTTGAATGTAATAATCCCGCAAATGTAATAAATTTCCCATTAAATCCGTATTAACAAGAGGCAGAAAAAAATAAAATAAATCCAATTAAACAACATATTTGCTGCCACAGAGTAATTCTGTGAACTGACAAGGAATGACCAGTGTGTGTGTGTGTGTGTGTGTGTATGTGTGTGTTTCCGTAAGTTATTTCTAACTTACTCAGAACGCTGCTCTGTCACTTTCTGACCCGCCCCACCCGACCTGCGGGTTGCTTGTCAACACACGCATCACTATTGGCAGGTGTATAAGTAAACAAACAAACAACAACAACCACAAAGATCATTATTCAGTCTCATATTACATTTGTGGGAAGTTATTACAGTTTAGATTTTCACCTTCCCACATATGTAATAATTTTCCGCAAATGTAATAGTTATTACATTTGCGGAAAATTGTGTGTTACGTTTGTAGCAGGCAGCTGCTATTACGTTTGTGGGAAATTTATTACATTTGAGGGATTATTACATTGAAAGCTGCAGATTTGTATTACATATGTGGTTTATTACGTTTGTGGGCTGTTATTACGTTTGCGGGTGTAACAAGCACTCTTCAAAAAGCAGTATTCTAATGTATTTATGCATCAAATATATGCTAATTAAAAATGAAACTAATGGGCAATATACACAGTGTCCAGCTACACTACCTGGGCCTGCTTTTACTTGAGCAACTTGCATCTAATCTAATAATGATTTTTTGTATCATATAAAACATATCAAAAATATAGCCTCAAGACAACACAGACCATTAGAAATTCAAAACTGCAAAAAATCTAGACCTTTTACAGTTTTCAACCCCTGTATCAGAGATAATTAACAGGTTTTGTGACAGTCCAACAGATGCTCATTCATTTACAACAAATAAGAGAAAAAATTAAAAAGCCAAATCTACTTCAGGCCTTGCTCTCCATTGGCAATGCCGTCCAATTGTTGTAAGGCCAAATTTTAAATCAGGCAAGTGCCCCCTATATAGCAATTTCAGAATAATTTTATACATGTTGTTCAACATTACTATGAAACATATCCTGCAAGTTTATTATAATTGGACAACCAATTTCTGATTTATTTTCTATTTGTGTTATGCCACACCCTTTTTTTTTTTTTTCCTTTCTAATAATCAGAATGAAACCCACCACTTTGGCCATCAACTCCTGGCTCTCCAGTTTGTCCCTTGAGTCCCATGTCACCCTTTGGTCCTGGAGGGCCAGCAACACCAGGGTCACCTGGAAAAAAGTATACAGATATAAGATTTTCTGATGGACTGCATTTTCTGCTGCTCAGCACTATCACTGAAGAATACTAAGTACAGTGACTGTAGGCTGTATACCAGTCAGGAGTCACTAACCAAGTCCTCAGTTGAAGTTGAAGTTGTTTAGGCCAAACCATAGACTGTAAAAATAATGGACGCTACTGTGACCTCACCCATCAGTTTGTGGAGTCCTGTTTTAAAGCCTCAAGTCTGGCATGTCAGCTGTCCCTATCTTGGTTGTTTTTGGAGCCAAAAGTGACCATATTTGGGTGAGAGGCTGGAGCTGTGAAGGACTGAGGGGTGGATCTGACCAAGAAGCTGAGGACAAAATCAGCAGACAGCCTGTCGCTCAAAGTGGCCCGCCCTTAAGTATGTGTAGCATAAAGCCTTAATAAAATGTAAATGTGTGAGTTATACAAAAAAAAATCCATCCCCATACAGTTGTCATGAATGTTGAAATTAGCTATGGAGTCCAAAACTGTTTTTTGTACCTGGCTTATTTCTGCTGGTTGGGCATTTTAGCATGGTGGTCTATGGGGATTGATGGGCTGCTGGAGCCAGTCTCAAGTGACCATTAGAGGATCTGCAGTTTTTGGCACTTCTGTGTTGGCTTTATTTTTCAGCCCTAGAGGATGCCACTTGGACCAAACACAGGACAAGTGTCACTAATTAATATATTTCAACGTAATTACTGTATAGTGTATTATAAGCCATTTATTTTGTTGTATAGTTTGTATACTGCTTATAAATAGTCAAGATTTACTAATTCAAATAAACACAAGAAGTTTGTGCTCTAAAAAAAAAAAAAAAAAAAAAAAGGATCAGCACTCAGTGAATAACCTGTTAAGCCCTACGATAAGCTATTATGGCAAGGCTTAACTATACAGACCAGTGAGCAGTGATAACTAACATGTCTTTGGGGTCATCGGGTGGGAACCTCCTTTCACCGGTGTTTCATCTAGTTGGTCCCACGACACCTCCAGGAGGCTAGACAGTGATCTCTGGCGTCCCAGAGACACTCCCCTAATGCCAGGTCTCACTGCTCCCCACACTAACTGAACAACCTCCTTTACCTTACCTATACTACCACAGAGGAGGTAGACCCAGGGAAGGAAGCCTTGTTAGGCTATCACACTCCCCCGCCGGGTTAGGCTGTACAGTCTACCTCCCCAGGACGAGCCCTCACAACAATGACACCTCCAGGAGGCTGGACAGTGATCTCAGCCCAAACAGCACTGCCAACTTCAACCAAGCCCAGGCTCCGTTTATGCGAGCTCCAGGCAGAAGCAATGCTGATACTACCTTTACTAGCACATTCACCATACTCTATTTCACACGCTACATAGCATAACTACAATGTAAGCTAAAGTTAAAGGAGATAAATGAACTCACAGGATCAGCAAACACACTCACTTTGCAGCATGGTCTCAAACAAAATGGATTCAAATAGGCCACTCCCACACTTAAATAACCTTCCTCTTCCTGGATTTCCTTCTTACTTACACATGGCTTTCTCAGCCCAAACAGCACTGCCATCTTCAACCAAACCCAGGCTCCATACATGCGAGCTCCAGGCAGAAGCAATGCTGATACTAGCTTTCCTGTCACATTCACCATACTCTATTTCACACACTACATAGCATAACTACAATATAAGCTAAAGTTAAAGGAGCTAACTGGACTTACAGGATCAGCAAGCACACTCACCTTGCCGCATGGCCTCAAACAAAATGGATTCCAATAGGCCACTCCCACACTTAAATACTTCCTCTTCCTGGATTTCTCCTGACAGGAAGTGGATCTCTCCACCTGATCTCAAGGAGTTATGTGCCCTGCTTAGTAGTTCCCCCTGCTGGCCCCCAGCTGACATTATTTCTTCTGTAATAGATAAACTGGCTGCATTTAATTGCTTCATCTGACATTTCCCTCACTGTCTTCCTCAAATTCTGTCCCCGCACTCCGAGTTCCCCCAGGAGTGAGACAGTTGATCTTGCTATGAATCCCCTACACCCCACTTCCACTGGACAAATCCTAGTCTTCCATCCTCGCTGCTCAGCTTCTGCTCCTAAGTCTGCATATCTAAGCTTTTTTCTTTCATAGGCTTCTTCCACTGAGTCTTCCCAAGGAACTGTCAGCTCAATGAAATAAACTATCTGTTGACTCACTGACCACAACACTAAGTCAGGCCTCTGCCTGGTACAGACTATTTCCTGAGGAACAACAAGCTTTCCCCCTAAATCTACTTGCATTTCCCAATCACAAGCACCTTCTAGGCGGCCACACCCTTGCCTCCTCACTAACTTATCCCTTCTGTATTTCTCTCCCTCACGGACAAACTGAATTACTAAGCCCCTATCCTTAACACCTTCTGAATTCACCTGTCTTCGTTTCCCTTCGATGCCTGCAGCTAAACATTTCAACACCTGATTATGTCGCCATGTATATCGGCCTTGTGACAAGCTAACTTTACAGCCTGACAAAATATGCTTTAAAGTTGCGGTACGTGAACACAATGGGCATGATGGGTCCTCATTTACCCACAGTTTTAGGTTCTGGGGGGTTGGTAACACATCGTATGTAGCCCCTACCAGGAATCTAATACGATTCTCCTCCATACTCCACAGGTCCCTCCAACTAAGCTTCCTCTTCTCTACACTTTCCCAATTCAACCACTGTCCCTGTTTAGCCTGGGCCACTACCTTTGCACCCCTTACTATCTCTTCCTGTCTGCGTATCTGTTCTACAACCAGCTTTCTTTTATCTTTGAGGCCTGCTGTATTCCATACCGGTTTACCTGAGCCAAGCCCCAGGCCTCCCCGGCCAAACTGAACATTACCTACAATCTCTGCATGTCTAAGAGCTGCCTCTGCCTCCTGAACTGCCGATCTTGGGTTCCACTTCCTCCCCTTGGTTGGATTTGGAACCACACTCCTAACTACCACGTCCTTACTCCCAGATAACAAGAGCTCTGTCCTGACCTTGGTACATTTAAATTCCTCTGTTAAACTAGATACTGGCAGCTGAAGTATCCCTTTTCCATACAATGCAACACTACTTAGGCACCTAGGAGCGCCCAACCACTTCCTAATGTAGGAGCTAACCGACCTTTCCATTCTCTCCACAACAGATATTGGAATTTCATAAACTGACAATGGCCACATTAACCTAGGATATAGCCCAAATTGCAAACACCACAACTTCAACTTTCCTGGAAGTTCTGATTTATCTATTCTATCCAATCCTTCAGCCACATCTTTTCTAAATTTCACCACCTGTTCCTTATCATTCAACTCTACATTGTACCACCTACCTAAGCTCTTTACTGACTTTTCCCTAATTGTTGGGATGTCCTCATCATCTATGACAAACTTCCTATCACTTAACTTCCCTCTACATATCGAGATGCTTCTAGATTTACTAGGCTTGATTTTCATGCTGGCCCACTTGAGGTTCTTATTTACCTTCTCTAGTAGCCTCTTTGTACATGGCATTGTTGTGGTCACCAGTGTCATGTCATCCATGTAAGCCCTAACTGGTGGAAGATGCAACCCATTCTGCCGTCTCTCCCCACCTACCACCCACTTAGAAGCCCTGATGATTACTTCCATTGCCATAGTAAATGCTAATGGAGAAATTGTACACCCTGCCATGATGCCTATTTCTAGCCTCTGCCAACCTGTTGTGAAACCTGCTGTACTTAGACACAACCTAATATCCTGAAAATATGCTTTCACTAAGTTAACAACTACCTGTGGCACTCTGAAGTAGTCAAACGCACTCCAAATGAGGCTGTGCGGTACTGAACCAAACGCATTTGCAAGATCTAAAAATATTACATGTAGGTCCCTTTTGTTAATCTTCGCTGCCTGAATCTGGTGCCAGATCATGCTAGTATGCTCTAAACACCCTGAAAAACCTGGTATTCCTGCCTTCTGCACCATGGTATCTATTAAGCTATTCCTTTCTAAGTAGCTAGCTAGTCTCTGCGCTACTACACTAAAGAAAATCTTCCCCTCCACATTCAAGAGAGAAATCATCCGGAACTGGCTAAGGTCCACAGACTCCTTCTCCTTAGGAATGAGGACACCCCCTGCCCTACGCCATGCTCTTGGTATAATTTGTTTTTCCCAAACTATTCTTAGCTGTTTCCACAAAAATTTAAGGGTATCAGGCGCACTTTTATAAACCCGGTAGGGGACTCCATTAGGCCCTGGGGCCGAAGAAGCCTTTGCACGCCTGACCACCTCCTGAACTTCCTTCCACCTAGGTGGCCTGACATCCATCTCATGCTCTATCCCTCCTAATGGAGGGATATCAGGTGGGAAACCTACTATCCTATTCTTCTCCAAATCTGAATACGTGTTTCTCAAATATTCTTCAACCTCTAACCTTTCTGCTTTAAGCTGCCCTCCCTTTTCCTGGCTGAACAATCCTTTAACAAACTTAAAAGGGTCCCTGAAAAAACCTGTCCTAGCATATTCCTTCTTCCTCCTCTTTTTCCTGAGATGCTCCGCCCTTCTAAGAACTGCTAGCCTGCTTCTCAACTCCTCTTGCAACACCTTAATTCCCTCCCTTTCTTCTTCTGTAGCCTTTTTCCACTGCTTTCTTAACTGTCTCCTTTCCTTGACTAACTTCTCTATTTCTCTCTGCCGCCTAGACTTACCTGACTGTACCCTCTCACTCCTCTTTCTCTCATGCACCCCAAACCTCTCTACACCATATGAATACATTATATCTCCCATCTTTTCTAACCTTTGTATTGCATTTCCTCTAAGCCTACTCAAGATTACTGACAAGTCTCTATTAACTATCTCCCATTCTTTACTGTCATTTGCTCTAGGCCATCTAACTCTAACCTTTTGCTCCATAGTTCTTTCTCTGGCTAGCATACTGGCCTCAGTGTCACCTGCATCCTCTCTTACTACCCCCTCCTCCTCAGTGGCAGCGTTACTGATATCCTGCGAACTGTGGTTTTCTACCTGCCGCTGGACTTCATCCGACTGACTCGACTGACTTCTTAGGAAGTACTGATCAATGCGGCTACTCTGCCCTTTCTTTGCCACACACTTCTTCTTTCCCTGATGAGTTCTGAGGCCTTTCACTGATGTTACTTTCTGCCAGCCGCAAGGACAAACCTGAAGCATCTTGTTCTCAACTATGCTACTTTTGCCCTCTACAGATGCGCTCACCTTGCCCTGAGTGCTGCTAATTCTAGCACTGGTGGATAGGTCCGTGCCCCTATCCTTCACTGAGTCACCGGTCCAAGTCATAGTCGTGTCCTTTCCAATGTCTGTTACCGTGTAATCCACCTGTGAGTCATCTTCCACCCCTGCTCTCGCTGACTCTTGGGGTATTTTCCCTATGTTGGCTGTAGCTAATTTTGGTTGTAATAAGGCTGCTAGGCCTCACCACTGCTACCATGGGTTGCTAACCCATGCCAGCACCGCTGGGGTCTTTTCCCTCCTGTCAGCTGTCTTTCCAAGCGGTCACATGGTCTTTCCCTTGTTGTCAGCTGCCCTATTCACAGCAGTCACTAGCTGGGCTAGTTCTGAATTCAAATAAACACAAGAAGTTTGTGCTCTAATAAAAAAAAAAAAAAAAGGGATCAGCACTCAGTGAATAATCCTCCTAAGCCCTACGATAAGCTATTATGGCAAGGCTTAACTATACAGACCCGTGAGCAGTGATAACTAACATGTCTTTGGGGTCATCGGGTGGGAACCTCCTTTCACCGGTGTTTCGTCTAGTTAGTCCCACGACACCTCCAGGAGGCTAGACAGTGATCTCTGGCGTCCCAGAGACACTCCCCTAATGCCAGGTCTCACTGCTCCCCACACTAACCGAACAACCTCCTTTACCTTACCTATACTACCACAGAGGAGGTAGACCCAGGGAAGGAAGCCTTGTTAGGCTATCACACTCCCCCGCCGGGTTAGGCTGTACAGTCTACCTCCCCAGGACGAGCCCTCACAACAATGACACCTCCAGGAGGCTGGACAGTGATCTCAGCCCAAACAGCACTGCCAACTTCAACCAAGCCCAGGCTCCGTTTATGCGAGCTCCAGGCAGAAGCAATGCTGATACTACCTTTACTAGCACATTCACCATACTCTATTTCACACGCTACATAGCATAACTACAATGTAAGCTAAAGTTAAAGGAGATAAATGAACTCACAGGATCAGCAAACACACTCACTTTGCAGCATGGTCTCAAACAAAATGGATTCAAATAGGCCACTCCCACACTTAAATAACCTTCCTCTTCCTGGATTTCCTTCTTACTTACACATGGCTTTCTCAGCCCAAACAGCACTGCCATCTTCAACCAAACCCAGGCTCCATACATGCGAGCTCCAGGCAGAAGCAATGCTGATACTAGCTTTCCTGTCACATTCACCATACTCTATTTCACACACTACATAGCATAACTACAATATAAGCTAAAGTTAAAGGAGCTAACTGGACTTACAGGATCAGCAAGCACACTCACCTTGCCGCATGGCCTCAAACAAAATGGATTCCAATAGGCCACTCCCACACTTAAATACTTCCTCTTCCTGGATTTCTCCTGACAGGAAGTGGATCTCTCCACCTGATCTCAAGGAGTTATGTGCCCTGCTTAGTAGTTCCCCCTGCTGGCCCCCAGCTGACATTATTTCTTCTGTAATAGATAAACTGGCTGCATTTAATTGCTTCATCTGACATTTCCCTCACTGTCTTCCTCAAATTCTGTCCCCGCACTCCGAGTTCCCCCAGGAGTGAGACAGTTGATCTTGCTATGAATCCCCTACACCCCACTTCCACTGGACAAATCCTAGTCTTCCATCCTCGCTGCTCAGCTTCTGCTCCTAAGTCTGCATATCTAAGCTTTTTTCTTTCATAGGCTTCTTCCACTGAGTCTTCCCAAGGAACTGTCAGCTCAATGAAATAAACTATCTGTTGACTCACTGACCACAACACTAAGTCAGGCCTCTGCCTGGTACAGACTATTTCCTGAGGAACAACAAGCTTTCCCCCTAAATCTACTTGCATTTCCCAATCACAAGCACCTTCTAGGCGGCCACACCCTTGCCTCCTCACTAACTTATCCCTTCTGTATTTCTCTCCCTCACGGACAAACTGAATTACTAAGCCCCTATCCTTAACACCTTCTGAATTCACCTGTCTTCAAAGATACCTGTTTCACAAGCCAAGAATTTATAAATATGTGGTCATGACTCCAAGTGCCCCTACAGCAGTTAACTGTGAAGTTAATTCCCTTCATGACAGTTTAACTAAATGTTGAAAATTGTTTGCTACACTACAGACAATGGTACGAATACATTCCAAATCGTTATACATCTATAATTAATTATTAACTTATTATTATTATTATTGGCCCTACACATGGTCAAAAGTCATACTGGATCCTAAAATACTATGAATATACCCACTACAGTATGTATAAGTAGGTCCGTGTGTGTCAAAGTACAGAGCATATGATCTCAGTGTCCTCTGTGTTACTGTAGAAACATCCCTGTCTGGAGCAAAGTGTTGGACAGATGGAAGTTTGTTTGGATTTAATCTGCCATTTGTTCCTGATTACATACATACATGCACACAAACACAAGCAAAGGTTACTTAAGGTCATTATCACAAAATGTAAGTTTGATGTTATTCAAGGACTCATATTTGGGTTTTTTTTTGTTTGTTTGTTTGTTTTTTTGTTACAGTAGTGGTGTGGTCGGGTAGGGGTGGGCCTATTGGAAAACATCTGCCGCAGACTCTGGTAATTTGTTGGCTTGAGTAGAAGTCCAGCCCTGATAGAGATTTCATACAGGAAATGTCAGACTAAGTTGTGAGGGTATGTGAAATAATGGCTAAAGCCCATCCATCAGCCAGTTTTCATCAGCCGTCTGACAAGAGATGACAGGTCATCAACGCTGAGATCATCGGCAGACCTGCAGCTGAAAGCTAATGCCTCCTGCTGCACACATATGCACCTTTTGCTGAATCAGTTGTAACCAGATGAACTTTTTACACTGAGAAACTTTATTCTGGTGTCGTTTTTAGTTCAGAGGTTCGAGTGAGGCTCTAATGCTGCCAGGGTTGCACAGTTCATTCTCTTTCTGAACCACTCTGATATCAGACCCTAAAATGTGATTATTGTTCCGATGCTTTTGAGAGAAATGTAGATTTGTCTGTTCTTTCTTTTTTTGTGTTGACCAAGTAATTTTGTGATTACAGCACCAGGAAATCTTTGGTCCCTAAACACAACCCACTCATATTTCACTGTTTAACTTCAGCTTCTAACATTTTTTTCTTAACTGGTTAAGGTTGACTCACCTTTGAGGCCCCTCTCTCCTGGTGCACCTGGGTGACCATCTGTACCTGGAGTACCAGGAGGTCCTGAGGACACACACACAATTTTTTTTAAAGGGACATTGTGTAGCATTTTCAGTTGTTAATTGGCAAAAATCGATATCTGCATTCATAAATTTGTCATCATTGGTGTACTATTACCTCCACCAATAATCTGACTTAGTCTCGTAAAAGGAGAATTTCAGATTTGTTTGTACATTGGGCGGGTAAGTCGCTTGGGGGGGCTCCATAACGTTTCACCATCTTGAAATTACATCCGCCAGCAAGGGACCTAGCACTACCAGGGAATAGCCGCGCCTTCTGCGTTTTTGTTGAGAGCCAGGCGCTGCGTGACTGAGAAGTCGAAGGAGAGGTGCTTTCCTACTAACCTGGCAAATTTGAAAGCCTGCACTACTGCAGCATAACAAAGTCCCACTCTTTGAGCATAATGCAGGATCATGCATATGCAGCATCACGGGAAATGGAGTCCTCATCGCCAAGGAAGCGCAAAAGGGAATAAAAAATGCAACTTCGGGGTAGCCTTTCCCAGGCGGAAAGAGCTGCTGAAGGAGAAAAGTAACGCAATCACAGGCCAACGCCGCTGTCAGCGGCGCAGTGACGCAAGGAGAGGGATGAGGTGTGTGAGGTTGAGCCACTTGTCAGTTGTCAAAAGACAAGACGTGATTGGTTTGTTTCGATTTACACCCGCCCCAACAATCCTACGTTGTAAACACAGCCAGCATGGTGAGGAGGGGGTTTGTCAACTCGCGTCATGTGTGTCTGTGTAGGAGCCTGAATGAATACTCCATGTAGTATCGGATGACATGGTTTCATCAGTGTTATCATAGCTTTTTGGTGCACAGCGGCTACAGTTGTTGCAATACATGTTTGAAACAGTGAGGCGCTAGAGTGTGCTATCATCGCTAGTTTGAATGCAATATATGATTTCAGTGTTAGACGTGGAGAAATTCCTAGACACTGTGGCTTTAAGGGTTAATGAACTCTGCCCATAAGATACTATTAAAGCTGTTACAGTTTTATGCTTTGCAGTTCAACCCCAACAGTCAGACCTAAACTATATCCCAAGATGAACTGCCAGAAGACGAAGCTCTTTGTGATACATACTAATTGTCCACATTGTCACTTAATGACAAGTACACACACACATACACACACAAACACACACACACACACAAATGTGTGTCCTACCTGATTTGAGGCTGATGTTTGTCAGTCTGCCCTCCAGGTTGTGAGTGCTGGTGTTGAGCTGTTTCAGGTCAGACCTCAGCCGGTCCAGCTGACCCTCCTCTCCACACATACTGTTGACCTGTTGTCATGGCAACCAACAGAAACATGACTGGGATGTCAAGAGCAACACTGTAAATCATGACCACATCAAATTAATCAAAACTAGTTTGACAGCGAGACAGTGCAATTTCTAAAAAGATCATTCCATTTTAATCCTACAAATTGAAACCTTGCAATTTTTAAGTAATACATCCCATCCCTCAGTATATGCTCAGGGGTTTTATTAGTACAGCCTTATTTGGTCTGGTATGACCAGTAGTTTACTGTTGCTAATGTTATTAACAGACTGTACATAGATATTGCTGTGTCATTGATATTTCTGAGTCCATTCACTGTAGCTATGTTTTAGCTACTGGTGCAAAACATTCTCACTTCCAACTCATCACACATCACTGTTTGGTCAGTGTACTTTCACGTATACATATGACACACTAGGTTTCCTGGGTGCATCTGTTGTTGACGTTCTTATACGCAGTGTCAATTTACGCCTGTTACATCCTGTTCGTTAGATGCATACAGTCAGGCCTCCAGGAAGTGTGCTGGGCTTTGAAGCCAGTGCTTCTAGTGGCCATAAAGTAGACTTACATTGTGAAAGACAGGTCTGTAAATCAGTTTGGATTTTTTTTTTTTTTTAGCATCACAACCCCTGCAGATTGACTCATTCCACTGCCAAGATTTGATCCATTCAGTCCAATAACATTTGGAAAGTCTAGAGGAGCCACAAGATTACATTACATCATCCTCATTCAAGTTTGAGAAGCGCTAAACCGAAATTCAACCATACGGCCATTGGAAAGTGAAACACTCAGCTGCCCTTGGTCACCGTTATAAGTCTCCAGTGCACCTGCTTTATGAGCCGCACAGTGCGGAAGCGGTGCCTGTGATCTGGGAAATTGTATACACATCAGTTGAACCATTTTGGCTTCATGTGCCACTGAGCAACTTTCATGGGAATGAGTTGGGCCCATGCTCCCAATATGTCCATCAGTAAAACACCTTATATTTATGTTTATTTCTTTGTGTCACAAAAACATGTGGTAGGTTTGGAGAAAAAAAACATCACGGTCTGGCTCAACATTCATGAGGGAAGTGAACACCAACCTGGTGTTTATTGGACCTACCCATCCTCCCTCCTGCCCACCTTATAGGGACTTTCCATCTCCTTGAATTATGTTGATGTCTGGTGGTGTTATTAACCGACACCCACCAATGGCATAACATACCATCGCAAAAAGAATGCCTGCTTTTCATCCTTGACTGATGCGGAAATCAATGTCCAAGTGACATATTTGATGACTTCATAATGAGAATGGATCATTTCGGTTTAACATTGCACAAGGTCCTTATTTCCATTAATAACGGACGTATGAGCAGACTCTCACCCTCTGCCAAGTTTTGTAACAAATGTATTAAGTGAATTTTCAACCCAACACTTAAATGAACAACATTCAGAGAAATAAACAAATATGGTGTACTTAAAAACATTGCCATCAAGGCATTATCTTCTGTAATTTTAATCCACTTTGATCTGGCAATGCAACATAACAAATCTAATTGCAAAAGAGATAAACAATGTATACAACTAAGCAAATGAATACAAATAATGTTCATAGAATATTCATGAAAGACGGGTTTCTGCAGATTTCTACCCCTAACTTCATAAAAATTTGTAGGCTTGGTCTGTTAACTGATTTGGCTGTAGCATGCTTTGCTTATAATGAAGAAAATATGGCACATACATGTCAGACATACAATCACATTATCCATTTATATTGCTGTAATTTAAAACAAATATTATGGTGTTTGAGCTTTTTAAGCAGATCTTGTTAGTCCTTAGCCTTGAATTTGTTGTTTATGTTCTCACACCACACAACTTCTGCATTTCATATTGTGAGTCATGGTCAAATGTAAAATAATAACTGAATTTGTCAGCCCAAGCCATGAAGTGGTTTCTGATCTTTGAGAAATAGAGCTCTTTTAGTCTTTATCTGTTTCAGTTATATCATAAAGGAAATCTGTGAGTACAAAAGAAGCCCTGGGATGAGGTGAATCTTGTCCTCATGTCCAAATGTATCACATTTTTGGAAAATGTGCCAGTTTGCCCTCTCTATTACCTCCGCCAAGGAGGTTATGTTTTCGCCAGCGTTGGTCTGTTTGTCTGTTGTCTGCAAAATAATTCAAAAACTTATGAACGGATTTTGATTAAATTTTCAGGAAAGGTGGATAATGGGACAAGGAACAGATGATAACATTTTGGTGGTGATCGGTTGAAGCAAAGTGGATAAAATAATAAAAAATAAAGTCTATCATCTGACAGCCTCAGCAGCAATTCCAATTTCTAAAGATGGTGAAAATAGCACCATCTGGTGGCCAGAAAGCACGTCTTGTTCTACTTGCTAAATATTGTTGTAATTCTAAAGTTGAAATTAATGTTCTGTGTTGGAAAAAAAGAAAGTGAAAAATACAAAAAACATGTTGGTACAAAATAAAAACGAAATAAATACACCACAGTATCTCCGTGGTGAAGGCATATATAACCCATTCTCGGAACCCATCGGCTGTATTCGGTGTCTGACTTCCGGCAGACAGCCTCTCCGATTTTTTGGCATTCCGGTTTGATTTGGGCGGAGGAGGCGAATTTCCGTTTCCGACTTCCGTTTATATATAAGTAAATATGCTGAACCATTGCGATGGATTCAGAGTTTGCAGTGACACCAATTATGTTCCGCCTCGTTAGTTCATTGCACGGACAGTTTAACCTGGCAACAACTGCAGCCACACCTCAAACGTGATTGGTCAATATCACGCGGACTACAAACAGCCTACAACCGGAAACCAGGGCTCTTCCGCTCTTCTTCCAGAGGCAAGATCTCCGGGGTTTGCCTACAGTCTCTACATTCACTGAATGTAGAGTCTGTACATAGAGACTATATATAACCTAATAATGATAGTGATCAAATAACCTAATTGTGATGCAGGCTGCAAAATCTGATGCAGAGGGGGAGGAAATATCGCCTACTTGGCGGAGGTCTGCACTCTCTGAGGGCTTTTCTAGTCTTTCATATGAGGAGATCAATATAAATTTTAAGACTCTGTGTTGGCACTGGTCAGGAGGTGCTTGGCCTAGCTTAGCATACAGGGTAAATTTGTTATGTTCGGATGAGTGAACAATCTGCTCTAAAGTGTCTGTTACCTCATATATTGTTTTTGTCTCCTCTGTTTCATATTGTCATGGTCAGCCTTTTGTGTTTTTTTTTGTGCACCTAGCATTGTGCACCTGGAACACTTTTGGAGGTCGGAAGTTAGAAATTTGGGAAATTCTTACCTCTGACTTTGATCTGTGTACAGATTAAGTAAGGGATAATGTATAGTGAGCCGATGACTGTTGAAAGATAACTCCATTACAAGCAAAACATGCTACAGCTTAAAACATGGCTTACTACTAAAACATTCAGTGATGTGACACAAAATAATGATTAAAGCATGTTTTATTAATTCAAAATTTTGCCATGCCAGTGCTGCATTTTGCCACTCCGATCCTATTTGGCCTGTGTGGACTAATGTTAATTGATTTTGATGCTCCTCAGTCTAAGGCCGTTGCTATGGCATCCCTAGCAACGGAGCAGCAGAGCAGTGGTGATACCTCAAGAAATAAACACTGCAAATTTTTTTGATTGACCAATCAGAATCAAGTATTTAAGAGTGCCATGTTCTAAACAAAGGAAGCATGTTCTTTAGTAAGTGTCAGAGATATAGGAAGACATTGGCCAGAACGGGGCTAGCTGGTTTTCTCTGGTTCCAGTCTTTCTGTTAAAGTCCCGGTAAAGCAAAAATAAATGTGTAATGATTTGTCACACCGCAGAAAAATGTGTCATTGACCACCCAGCCAAAATTTATATAGTATATGACATTAGGTTTCAAAATCATAAAAAAATGAGCAGTATTCTCTGCTCTGAGATGAAGCTGAAATAAAGACCCCTGCTGCAAAGCCAAAGACTCTTGTTAGCAGCTAATCCTGTTGCACATTCATATCTCATTCATCAGCTAACAGAAGCTAACAAGAGCACAAAGCACATACCCACCGCAGTGAGCAGTAACTGCCAGAAGGCCAGTTAGCTGATTCAGCCTGAAAGATTATAAGGTTCATTGGTGACAGCTGTTTAGCTTGTGTTTATATGACTGTGGTATTTAAAGCAACACAATGGAGGGTTGCACTTTTTAACTCACGGGTCCCCCTACAGATGAAAAACGGTATTGTCTGTTACAACTGTCAATCTTTCTGCGCGTGCATTTATTGACAAGCCAACGATACAGGTACAGTAGCCTTATAGCATTTTGTACATACATGATTAGACCGATTGCTTTATTTATTTATTCATTTTCGAAACTTAGAAATGAGTTGCTCTCTGCATGTCCTCACAGCACGCACACACACACACACACACACACACACACACACACACAAACTCAACAGAGTGAAGTCAGACAACAGCAGAGAGGCCGAGGTGCAGATGAAGGGAACATAACCTCAAGCTTACTCTAGTTGATGACAACTACGCTTGTTACTATAAGTAAGTGCGATACAACCTCTGCCAGCCAAGCCAATACTTTATCAATACATGTGATCAGCATGTAGAAAGCCATATTTCAATCGGTTCTGTCTGCAGTCTCTCATTCACCGCTATTATGATTCATGATCGCGGTCGACACAAGCACATCGTGTTCGCGGCGCTAACAGCAAACTGTTAAAGACAAACTAAAATGAAAGCTGTCTCTATGTAGGTAGACTCACAAGTCAGTCTTTAGATGCTTTGCTTAACTAAAGACTGATGTCTTTCTCCCTGATTTTGTGTTTAGATGGGCGGATACAATTTCAGAGTTTAAAAAAACTCCCTACGTTGCAGAACCAATAGTAAATCCACAGGGCGGTCCTTCGGTGGCTCACTGAACTCTTGTGCTCGTAAACATAGTCCGACTGTGTTAAAAGTTTTAAACAAAGTCACTGTAAGTCCTTCATTTCCACAATATTGCGGACTGAGCACACGTTTGATAAAACGGAGTTAAATCTCTCGGCATCCATTTTCAAGCTCTCTGTGTGTTTGTTTCCTTGTGGATGAGAAAAGGGGGAGCGCACATTTCCAGGAGGGCGTTTCCTTTTCAAAAATGCAAGAGCTGTTGCTTTGTTGCCGGCCGTTTTCTCCAGTGTGTTAAATACACTTTAGAAAGGAGTGTCCTCAGACTATCAGAAGGCGGAGATCTGTGATTGTCTGGTGGCGAGACTAGTATGTAGGCTAACACTTTATCTTAAAATGTACCTGAGGCAGCCGACCTGCAGACAGTGAGTCTCCTAAGTAGAGGGTAACAGCAGTAACAGCGCCAGGTCACAATTGGTCTGGCATCTCTCCTCTTCTTTCAGCTCTCGCCAGCGTTTGAAAGCTGGGCCAATATTAGTCCTTGTTCAAGCTCTTGTTTTATCACTCTCCCGTTTTCTTTTCTTTGTCTCTTCGGACAACACCTTCACCTTCTTCCTTTTCTTTGTCGCTTCTGCCATTACAACCACGTCTAACTTCGTTCTCCTCAGTTCGGCTACGCTACTCTAAAGAGAGGAGGGGGATATGACGTATGCTGTAAAGCAGCCAAATTTTGTAGTCCTTTTTGTGTCCGGGTTCCTACCCAAACCCCGAAACTGCATAGTGCCAGTGCAAGCAAAACAGACGCTCTCAAGCAACGACAGAGGTGTCATCCAACCTATTGTGAGTTAATGTACCATCACAAGGATCTTGGATATATATTTTGAGGGCTCAAAAACTCCCTTGTGTTGCTTTAACAGAGATGTTTTTTGAAGTATTTATTACCCTGGAAGAGCTCAGGGAGCTCGTGGAACATAGCAAACACACCACTCACACACAGGGGCTGAATGAAATGACACTGATGTATGTGGTGCGTTCAGAGTTAACATTTGTAGTGATGTAATATTTATATAGTAGGGGACGGGTTATGATAAGGGTTGCTTCATAGTGTTGTCGAGCAGGCTTTTAGGCCTGACTCCACAGTTCAATACTACACAGTTTTCAATCCGCACATTTTCAACAAGTATCTCCTAATATGTATAATGTGTTCACTGATCACTGATTTTGCTTTATCTGCACTTTAAGCTAGGCTAACCACATCCAGACTCAAACTCTGTAGTTACCACACAGACATGAGACTGATTCTTCTCATCTCACTCTCAGAAAAAAAATATTTGTAATGACCTAATTAACTGATGGTAATTATTGCAGGGCCTTACATATGCTTTTTCTCACTGATAAATTGAATAAACAGAGCCTAAGTAAATTAAAACCTAAACTGAATCTGAATTAAACAAAAACTAAACTGCACTGAAGCTATGCACAGTGTGTTCAGAAAAATGTTCCATATAAACAGGAGGAGGACCTGGCTCTTCAGGGCCCACAGGTGACTCCTCAGAGTCTTGGTTTCTTGACTGTTGTTATAGAGCAGAGTCTGGATGTTGTCGTCTCCCTGCTCTCTACTCAGAGGGATGTAACTGGACTTCAGCTTCTCCAGCCTGGGGTTAGACAGTGAAGACCCCAACGTGAAAACTGGAAAAGAGAGGAAAAAATAGCAAAGCACATTTTATCAGTAACTGCAATCACTTCACATTCACAGTACATAATGACATCGGTTTGATGTCTAGTTTGAAAAAAAAAATCCAATCTGGTATAGGAATATTCTTGATTCTCTTCAATATATTGCATTTAAAAATTAATATGTGAAAACAAATAATACTATCTGCATGTAGGTGTACCTTTATAAATGAGAAAGGCATTAAGGGCGGTCTGGAATATGAGGTAAACAATAATCACATTAAAACACCACTGTCTTCTGGGCCTCTGCGGCTTCAGATCTGCAACACAAACAGGAAAGTGCATTGAAACAGCAGAATGGGATCAATCTCCTGCAGCAAACTAACATTTTTTTAAGTCATCTCTGGGGACCAAAAGAAGTCTGATTCAGAGCATGAAGCATTTGGACGACTAGTGGAAAATGTCAGCTCCTGAAGTTTTCATAATGAAAACCTATGTAGATGAGTTTTTTATTTTTTGGCAGAAAAGCCGAGAAACTGACACTAGACCAAACTGGTTATGACAGAGGTAAATTACTGTCCCCTCTGAAGGTGTCAGAGGAGCATGGATGGATGTGAGTCAGCAGGGGCCTACAGGTTATAAGAATAGTTCTCAATCTCAAGCTGAGCCCAACGGGTCCCAAAAAGCCTGAGGAGTTGGACAGGGTTTGGGCCTGGTACGGTAGGGCTCAGGAAAAAAAAAAGCCTTTGTTGCTGTTTATCAATTGCAGAACACAGCATATAGATTTCATGTAAATGAAAAGATGATCAGGCTTATTTCTGGTTGCCAGTAGATGGATATGACACCTCTGTAATGTATTATGGCCTAAAGTGTTATCAAAAGTGTTAAATTTGGGGCAGATTGGACAATACACACTCAAGTTAAATCAGCTTCCTGTTTTGTGGCAAATAATGCATTGCTTTACCAATGTCCATCCATCCATTTTCATCCCCTTATCCAGGGCCAGGTTGCGGGGTCAGCAGGCCAAGCAAAGCACCACAGGCATCTGTCTCCCCAGCAACACTTTCCAGCTCCTCCTGGGGACCCCAAGGCGTTCCCAGGCCAGACGAAATATGTAATCCCTCTAGCGTGTTCTGGGTCCACCCCAGGGCCTCCTACAAGTGGGACGTGCCCAGGACACCTCCAGTGGGAGGCACCCAGGAGGCATCCTAGTGAGATGCTTGAACCACCTCAACTGACCCCTTTCGACGTGAAGGAGCAGCAGCTCTACTCTGAGCTCCCTCCGGATGTCCAAGCTCCTCACCCTATCTCTAAGGCTGAGCCCAGCCACCCCATGGAGAAAACTCATTTCTGTCGCTTGTATCCGCGATCTCATTCTTTCGGTCACTACCCAGAGCTCATGACCATAGGTGAGGGTTGGGACCTAGATGGACCAGTAAATCGAAAGCTTTGCCTTCCGGCTCAGCTTCCTCTTCACCACAACGGACTGGCGCTCTGCAGGCACCATACCCAACCTCCACGCGAGACTGAAAAGCCGTGTCAGGCAAGACAGCCCAACTCATCCACACCCAGCACCTTGCCACTAGGGGCTTTTTTGCCTGTCTTGTATAGGACAGAGTGAAGGGGGTGAGAGAGAGAGCGGGGGGTGACTTGCAGAAATAGTCGCAAGCCGGAGTCGAACCTGCGACCGCTGCAGCAAGGCATCGCCTCTGTACATGGGGCACCGGCACTATCCACTACGCTACCGACGCCCCCACTGGGGAGCTTTTTGACTGCCTCATCAAACTCTGCCAGGGATATGGCAGAGGTTGCTGAGGTAGGTCGATCATCGATCTTTGGCCTAGGATGTTCTGGTACCAGGTACACTGATGAACCTCCCTGTGCTCGAACATGGTGTTCGTTATGGCCAGTCCATGACTCTCACAGAAATCCTCAGGCAGGCTGCTCCTCCCAGTCACCCCCCTCCAGGCTTCTCCGTCATTGCCCACATGAGCGTTGAAGCCCCCATGGTGAACAATGGAGTCCCCAGCCGGCACCCTTTGCAGGACGCTGCCAAGAGACTCCAAGAACGCTGGGTACTCCGCACTGCTGTGCAGAGACCTTCTCTTTGCGACCCGCAGTCGCTTCGAGGCGACCCTCTCATTTTCCGGGGAGAACTCCAACATGGCGTCACAGTATCAAAGTATCCCCATACCCACCCGGCGCGTCTCACCCTGAGCAACTCCAGAAAAAGCGTGAATCCAGCCCCTCTCCAGGAGTTTGGTTCCAGAACCAGTGCTGTGCGTGGGGGTAAGCCCAACTATATCTAGTCAGTACCACTCCACCTCCCGCACCAGCTCCGGCTCCTTCCCCACCAGAGAGGTGACATTCCACATTCCCAAAGCCGGTTCCGCACCACCAGGGATCAGCACACCAGGGGCCCCACCCCCCCCCTGCCGCCCGGCACACGTTGCACCAGCCCCCGATTTCTGTCCCTGCAGATGGTGGGCCCACAGGGCGATGGCTCCTTTTTCCTTTTACCAATGTCGTTAAATATAAAGTTACAATCTTCACAAGTAAGCATCATCAAGGTCATAAGGCTATGCTGATCACATTTGAGGTGGATCTGGTCACCCTGCTGGGACAACTATATGAAAGTATAAAACATGTAATTTCCTGTTGCCAGTGGATAGCACACGTAGAGCTTAATTTTTGCTCATAGTTGTCATGAGGCTGAGACACTTGTCATGCCTGAGAAATTATAACCAGATTGGGCTCATGTTACAACAATTTTCATTACAAATTTGTTAAGGTATTTGTACCTTAAGATACACTGGTTTAAACAAAACAAAATATCCCCAAATATCAGTTTCTCAGTGAAGCACTGTGGCTGTGTACTGACACCTCATCAACACAAATGCCAGAAAAAATGTTGGCATTAGCCTCTTTTCCAACATTTCCAGCTTTTATTACCAGGAATTTATTTACCCGGGTAAAAGAATTCCTGGTAATCTGTGTGGTTTGCGTTTCCATCGCACTTCAAAGCTCTGGAAAATTTATTCAAATTAGCGTGATGACCTAGATGGTTCGGCGTGTGCCCTGTATTTGGCTCCGCCAGCTTGGCTGGTTACATGCTGGTGTAGAGAGTAAGGGCTGTTTGTCTCAGCCAGCAGCTAAGTTTAAAAGTATTTTAAGATAAGTGTCAAACTAATTTAGTCTACATAGCTGTCATTTGAGCTTATTAGTATCAATTCGCTATCAGCTGAACTAGCGTGCTGTGCTTGTGTAAGACATAAAGTTAGTGTCGGTGGATGTGAGACTGTGGACGGAGCATACTGAATATCGCTGTCTACATGTTTACATGTTCAGGCTGAACATATGTATTGATAAAATATTGGCTTCTTACCAGCTACGGCTTAATGTCACTTAGCTGCGTAGCCGCGGTCAACTCGAGTCACTACGGTCTTTGATAATTCAGCTCCAGGGCTAATTTAGTACTGGGTTTCGGTACCCATCCTTAATCAAAATATGAACAAAGTGAAGCTTGTAGAAATGAAATAAAGTTTGCAGACACACTGACACGGAAGTGCGGAACGCTGCGTGAGTGTGCTCCACCGATCAGTGTTTTTCGGCAGCCCCGCCCCTCAAGAATTCCGGGCAATCTGAGAAGTCCTACCCCCCTACTAGGTACTTTTTACAGAGTAAATTTGGGGATGAGGGAACGTTTTTTACCCAGGTAATTTTGGTGGAATATGAAGTATGAGTAACCGTATTCTGCTGAATACAATTACTGTCTTTAAAAATTGATTACTTGAAAGGATTACTTTGTTTTGTTTTATTAGTTCTAACACTGTGTCCTTACTGAATGCGATGCGAGGAGCATCAGTTTGATTGCACTGTTTTCTATTAGAATGTTCTGACTGGCTGTGAACAACGCAGTGCTGCTGATCTGAGCTGAACTTGTGTCAGACATTCTCTTTCTATTTATTCCTGTCGCTCACTTTGAAAGCTTCATGGTGGACAAGGAACTGGTGATTCATGAATCTGAAATGAGGAGTTATTGACACAACACCTCCTCATTTAACTGCAAAAACCTAAATAAGGTATCAGTTGTCTGGAGGGAGGTCACGAGGAAGCAGAAAGTTTCTGCTAAATTACCTTTGCTAATAACAACCTACTTGCTGCTGGCTAGTTTGTATGTAATTTCCAGTAAATGCCAGCTCACAGCTGATAGGTAGCTTGCGTGGTTTCTTTACATGACATAATAGAAGTGTGTATGTAATGGATTTAGTGTGGACAGAATTTGATTCTTGCTTGCTGTTAGAACACACTGTAAAATCATATGAGGCACAGATTTCCCATTAGGCTGAGAAATTAAGCCAGTGTGGAAGTGCCCAAAACTGCAGTTCATTGAACAGCCACTTGAGGTTGGCTCCAAAACAGAGTCAGTCCTCACAGACCCCCATTTTTAAAATGCCCAACTTCACAACTGAAATAAACATGTTTACAGCCTGGTGCAATAAGGGGTTTTGGTCTCTATAGCTAATTTCAACATTCATGATAATTGAACAGGAATAAGCTAACCCGTTTATGTTTTATTTAAGGCTCAAAGTTGCACATATTTAAGGGCAGGGCTGCTTTGATTGACAGGCTGTCTGTGAGGCATCACCACAGTCTGTGAGTCAGATCCACTCCTCACTTTTCCACAGCTACAGCCTCTCCTCCAGATATGGTCACTTCTGGGTATTAAGATTCATGATAGCGACAGCCAAAATGTCAGACTTGAAGCTTCAAAACGGCAGTCCACAAACCAATGGGTGATGTCACCTTGGCTAAATTAGTTATACATCTACGCACCTGCCACATGACAGTGTCAGAGGAGACACATGGCCAGGACACTGTTGTGTGTTTTTGTATGACAATATAAGACCCAGACAAATGAGCTCAGCAGGACAAATAAAATACAGTACATTACTTAGTTTGAGTAATCTAATGGAATATGTTCCAAATTACAGTTTAGGGCATGTATACAGCAATCTTAATACACTCTCCAACACTGTGGATGGGTTACATTTATTATTATTATTATTATTATTATGTAGTGGATATCTTTAAACTTTGTTCAGCTGTAGTTAATGTGTGGTAAGGTTGAGGCACAAAAACACTATGTTTGGGAAAAGTTTATGTTTTGACTTGAAATTTCAGGTCCTGGTTGCACATTCCCTGCTGGAAATACAGCGATGTCTTGGTAAAATAAAACAATTTGTGGCACTATCCCAGCAGGAAAAACACATCTGGGGGGTATTTCATCAAGTAAAGGCAAATCCAGGCTTAAATGGCC